GGGCTGTCACGTAAACAGAACGTGGCCAATTCGTCACTAGTAGAGCACACCGGTGTGTTGGAGAGCCAAGCCACAACATTTACAAACTGAGTACGATGTTTCGCCAGTAATTACAACTAGCTTCATCAGGCGACAGCCAGATTTGTGGAGAAGTCCACCTGTTTCGTTCCGTATAGAGAGGAGGCGTAGATGTGTTGGCCACGCTTCTGCGCTCTTGCGCCACGTGGGGGGGGGGGGGGGTATTGCTGAGGCAAGGTACATTGTGCATGTGCATTATGCGAGCCCTTTAAACTTGCCCTTTCTCACCCAAAACAAACTCTATTATGGATGACATTGGTCGCGAAAGCCTACGTGTTAAAAAGCCTTTCCTTAACTTCCCACATGTGACGAGATCGGTGCATCCCTAGGTGACAAATGTGTCGACCTTACATGGTACAACATATGAACATCGGGGCAGCATAGGCACATCCACAATTAACCTATAGGCACATCCACAATAAATCTATAGGCACATCCACAATTACTCTATAGCCACATTGTTGACGTTCACGTGCCAAACGAATTATTTTACGACATCACACGACTCGCAGCACGCACGAGAATCCCAGCGAGACGTCACACACACACACAACCATCACGTGTAGAGGTGACAGGAGTGCACAACTGCTCATCACAATTCACAGCAACCCGTACCATCATCTCTTCGGCTGGAATGTGTTCATGCCGTCTGCGTGGGGCGGCCCTTGCCATCTTCTCCTCGGCTCTGCGGCTAACTTAATTAACGCTTGCCTTGATTGGTCCCGCCAGCGGTTGTTGTGTAAGCTGTTGTTGTTGTTCTGGGTTTTCTTGTCGAGGAGAGCGCTACGCGTCTCTTGACAGTAGGGGTGGTGGGTTGGAGCGAGTGAGTGAATGGGTGAATGCGCAAGCGAAACTATGGAATACGAGTGTTTAAAAAAAGGCGTCTAACGAGATCGCAGAGGGCGTGAAGGAGGACGAACGGCCGAGGGAAAGTGAGGGCTGACGAATGAATGTGGCTCAGGAAACGGGCACCGTAGCGGAGATGAACGCAGTGAATCTCGGCTGAAGAACGCGGGTGAAGTGACGGCGGTTTCGAGGGCGCCTTCTTCACCCACTGTGCTTAGACCGGGCGGCCGGCAATCTAAATAATTAGAGCCATTTGAACAAACATCGGCAAAAAAAATGATTTCAAGAGCCGCAATGCACGTGAATACGAGTCGGTGGTCCTTAATAAATAACGTCACGAAACAGTCTGGCTTAAGGCAGATCGTGGCGAGCTCTTTTTTGTTTAACTACGAAATTAAATACACCCTTTGAGACACGGCAAATATTGCCTCCTTTTCAACGGGGTTACAGATAGAACTAAAGCACTTGATGAACTGTATGTGATTCCAAGCCATTTCGAGACTGTTAAAGAATGCTTCAGTTGATTTGATTTGATTATTACGTTTTTTTACAATTGTCTCAATGGGCTCCTATCTGATTGACTACCATGGCAAATGTGTAAACAGTACTTAATGTTCTAGTTTATAGTTTAATGGATGAATGGAATATTTAAAACTGTCCGGTGTCGACTGTGGACACCCAGAAGCGATCATTGAACATTTAACGACTCAATACCCGATTCATAAACACAAATGGAGGCATCATCACGGTGATGCACTACTCCTGACCAAATAATCTGGCTGAATCGCTTCAACTTAAAGTTGTCGCTCTAAATCAGTGGTTCTTAACCTGGGGTGCACGCACCTCCTGAGGGTGGTGCGAGGTGCCCTTTCTGGGGGGGGGGGAACAGACATGGCAGATTTCTTTAGAAAGTAAATAATCGAAACACAAATTAAGCACTGGCACGTAAGTACAACTACTGTGTTTCATCAAACCTATGTGTTTATTAATATTATACTTTTCTTTTACAATTAAGAACCAAAGGGGTGGTGCAAGGCTGCAGTAAATGTTAAGAACCAATTTGCTCTACATCAACATCAGCCATACGGCGACAAAGAAGGGTGCCTAAGAGTATCTGCTCTCTAGTTATTTGTGCTAACCCTACACGTGTTTACATGGGATACGCAATGCCCTTCGTACCGGCAACGGGCAGACCCACAAACAGCTCAATATTTACCGTGTGCTGAACTAAAGGGCTTAACTCAACGGTGCGACACAAATTAGTCGTCTTAGTTCAGGGGGTTCGGCAACAAAAATAAGAGGAGCAATTTTTTTAGAATTCGGTAAAAAAAAATACCGTAAATATTTCAAGAGCCACCACAAAGAGTCGCGTGCGGCTCACCCACCCCTGTGTTAGTGGCTGAGCGAGTCGTAATCTTTACCATATTTGAACCCTAATTTAAATCCATAATTTTGCGAGGAAGAGCCATGATAATGCCTTGCAGTATCACAACAATGATCAAAGAGCACAACATAATTGTTTACACGTACTGGCATTAGTCGGTGCTACTGCTGCATTGGCAGTGGTGCAGAAACATATGCTCTTGCCAAAAAACTTCAATTGATCCAGCAGCATTTGTTTAACAAGTCTAACTCTTGATTTAAAGCTTTCGTGACTGCAGTAATTCATATTCTTAGTTTTTTCGGTAAAGTCACGTTGAAGAGAAACAACAAAATAACAAAATATATATAAAACAATAAAAAATTCTCACGACGTTTCGACCATAACTCAAACGGTCATCATCAGGTGTGTCGGTTTGCATAAATTTATTTTGAAAACGGCATATTTATTTATATATATAAAAATAACGTTTGCGTCACGCGCAACGATGGCAGTTTGCCAGGACTAGTCCATCTATTTTTTGAAAAGAGGAGGGGGGAGACGAAATTTGTTTTTATGTATGCTGTCTGAAAGGCACTGTAAGCGTGAACAATCAATCAAGAACTGAAATGATTTATCAAATCTTTCCAATGATTGCTAAGATAGAATCCATCTTCTCGGTTGAAATTGTCTCTGTGTTTGTATATGTGGATAGCCTCATGAACGAATCTCTCATGGAAGCCAGATGGCTTACAAAGAACCTCCGTCTTGGAAAAGTCAATGGCATGTGAGCCTACTGAATTAGAACAATGATCTGCTACGGCCGAGGTGTTGGTCCTACCGTGTTTAAGGTCTGCTTTATGTTCACGAATGCGGTCCGAGATATGGCGTTTGGTTTCTCCAATGTAACTACTACCACAGAGGCAACTTAGTTTGTAGACACCAGGGTATTGTATGTCCGGAATCACATCTTTTACAGACGGAACCAGATCACGGATTTTATGTAATGTGTTGAAACGGACCTGGATCTTGTGTTTATTCAAGATTTTGGAGATCTTTTTTGTGATCCCAGCAATGTAGGGTAAAGTGATGGTTTTGAAGGGCTAATGGTTACTCCGACTATACAATCCGCAAAGCTATCACTCAAACCATGAAGAAGAACCCTCTTGAGGAGCCTTTCAAAACCATCACTTTACCCTACATTGCTGGGATCACAAAAAAGATCTCCAAAATCTTGAATAAACACAAGATCCAGGTCCGTTTCAACACATTACATAAAATCCGTGATCTGGTTCCGTCTGTAAAAGATGTGATTCCGGACATACAATACCCTGGTGTCTACAAACTAAGTTGCCTCTGTGGTAGTAGTTACATTGGAGAAACCAAACGCCATATCTCGGACCGCATTCGTGAACATAAAGCAGACCTTAAACACGGTAGGACCAACACCTCGGCCGTAGCAGATCATTGTTCTAATTCAGTAGGCTCACATGCCATTGACTTTTCCAAGACGGAGGTTCTTTGTAAGCCATCTGGCTTCCATGAGAGATTCGTTCATGAGGCTATCCACATATACAAACACAGAGACAATTTCAACCGAGAAGATGGATTCTATCTTAGCAATCATTGGAAAGATTTGATAAATCATTTCAGTTCTTGATTGATTGTTCACGCTTACAGTGCCTTTCAGACAGCATACATAAAAACAAATTTCGTCTCCCCCCTCCTCTTTTCAAAAAATAGATGGACTAGTCCTGGCAAACTGCCATCGTTGCGCGTGACGCAAACGTTATTTTTATATATATAAATAAATATGCCGTTTTCAAAATAAATTTATGCAAACCGACACACCTGATGATGACCGTTTGAGTTATGGTCGAAACGTCGTGAGAATTTTTTTATTGTTCTTATATATATTTTGTTATTTTGTTGTTTCTCTTCAACGTGACTTTACCGAAAAAACTAAGAATATAAGTCTAACTCTGCTGATGAGACCCAGAAGGATGAAACAGGTCCAGTGTGTGGACTGGACTAGTCACTGAGTCGGCGTGGCTTTATAAAAGTGTGCCGCTGAGTCTCCCAGAAATGTGGTAACAATATCAACAAGTCGGCAATAGGCCTAATTCACATAGCTATCTCTCCATATGTATGTACAAATATTACAGTATTTACACCATTATCAACCACGTGGCCTTCTGTGAGTGCATGCATTGACCCGCGATGTCTGCTCTGCCCCCTGTTGGTGTGGAGGGGAGTTTTTTTTTGTTTGAACGCCGCGGGTTTTTTCCAGTTGCCAGCATTGGCCGTGATGAGGACAGCATCATTCGGCGGCTTCTTCCCAACTCTGCTGCTGCTGTTGTGCGTGCAGGAGCTCACGCGCACCCAGTGAGTCCAGAACGAGTTCCCAAAAACCACTCACGTGCCTGGCACAGCGTCTCTTCAGCCCTTCCCGTATCCCTCGCCGAGACAAGTTCGTGTCGTGGCATATGCCCCGGATTTGAACTGACGGCATGCTTTAACAGTGACCGCTTTTGCTGGAGCAGGCGAGCTTGGAATTCCGAGTCGGTTGAATTGTCGTCAGCTTTAGGCGTTGTTTGGTGGCGCTGTCGTCTTCCCATCGCTTTGCAAGCGCACGGCGCTCGGGAGGTGGGGGGGGAGCCGAACGCGAGAGTCGTGGTCACGGCGTTTCCCTATCCGGGTCGGGTTGGCCGACCCCGGCAGCTGAAACGCCGAGTGGAAACTGAACGTTCGATCAGCTGGCAACCGCCGCCAATGGCCGCATTCGACGGGATTATAGGAGACACCGACACTGCTGCCCGCCTGGTGTTTAAAGCGAAATTCACGGCCAACACCAGTGGCGCACCTCCGATTAGCACGGTTGGATACGTACGGTGCGAAAGAAGTTCAGAGCATACAATTGGTGATGCTGCTGCGTTGGTGGACAAATTTTATATATTTTTTAAATACCTCCAGACATTCAACAATCACACGTTTACACACCTGTCAACCTGTACGTTTAAAAAATACCTCCAGACATTCATCAATCACACGTTTACACACCTGTCAACCTATACGTTTAAAAAATACCTCCAGACATTCATCAATCACACGTTTACACACCTGTCAACCTATACGTTTTAGCCGTATTCTCGTGTGGGGAAATTTAGTTTTCAGGTCCATACGGCGTACAGACATTTCATTCGGGCAAACATTTATTTGTCTATTAGTGTTTGTCCCTTGTGATGGGACTTTGTAGGATGAACGTTGAGATGTATAGGGGACACGGGGTGACCAATGAGGTCTGAATTGGTCTGTAATAAGATAGGCACTAAGGGGTTGACAGGTATCCGTTTGCCTTAACAGAGGAAAAGTATATATAATAGCCGGCGTTTCGAACAAGGGCCCTTCGTTATAGTTTGCTGTGCTATGGAGAAGGGTCACTGCCAGTACTCGTGACATTAGCAAACACCGCACAGCACGTGTTGAGTACACTTGCTGTTGCAGAGTGCGAAGTGGGAGTTGATAGGATTGATTGGAATTCACCACGCGCGCGTGTTTTAAGAGCTCATATCTTTGAAAGTGATGTTGAAAGCTCACCAACTTCGGAGGTTGCATCTCTACATGTCTAGTATTTTAAAGGTGCACTTTTGCTTTAATTATTAATTTTAAAAACACTAATAACGCGACGAATGAAAGTCGACGTGGAAGACAGTGCACGTGCACAAATAATGTTTCCAGCATTGTATTTGATAGCAAACCTACTTACATTACAATATTCAATTGATATATATACAGTACAGTACTCTGTTAATGTACATTGCACGTTTGGGTGGAGCGGTGGCGAAGTGGTTAGCACGCTGAAGTTTGAACCCGGAGACCTCAGCTAGATTCCCGGCCACGGCTAACATCAGTGGCGAGTGATATCAGAACCGGTGTCTGGCACCTCTCTATTTACCAACTCGCATTGACCAGCGTGGTGAGGTATGGCCACACAACTCAATGAGCGATACGGTTTTGGGAGGGCTTCATCCAGCAGTGGATTGACAAAAGGAATGCCAATTATCCATGACACATCTCAATATAAAATTACGTGCGGTAGAAAATTCAAACGTGGATGTTGAAATCGCACCCATAGCGTTACCGTCATTATTGTGTCGCGTACACATTCAAATGTCCGTCCGTGCAGTGGCTAGTGGTGGCAGGCGAGGGTGGCGTGGTGGTGGTGGTGGGGTCACCGCTGCTGGCCGGTAGGGTCACGGGGAGGTCACGGGGACAAGCGAGGGCTCTGCAGTACACCCCTCGCCACCCCGAGTATAACGAACACATTAAAAGTTCGCGCTCATTACGCACAAAGTGCTTGCCACTAATGAACCACAACTACCTTGCTGATCTCGTGAAGGAGCATAAACCCCGAGCATGCAAACTCCGTTCATCCTCACAGCGGCGGCTTTTGGCGAACCATCGGCAGCGGTGAGCGAGTCGCGCGCTCTCAGATGCGCCTCTGCGCCTGTTTGGGACTTCCTTCCGATAGCCCGTCAAAGAGTGTGGGGGCAAGTGCTGTTAGCGAGCACCTATGAAGTGTCGGTACGGCACACGAGAGGGGCGGGGTAGCCGGACACCACGCCCGCTCTGATTTTGTTTCCCAAGTGGAGATGTTTAGACACAAACGCTCACCCGGCACTTGTTTGAGGCTGAGTCGACCTAGGGGGGCGAGGGGGGCAGAACCGGTGCAGATAATCGTCACTGGTCGAACTCGGGCCGCCGTGTTCGCAGCGCGGCGCACTAACCGCTCCCCACGTGCCACAGCCACCCATCACCACCACCACCATCATCACCCCACTTGCACGTGGAGCTGCGTGGAACCACGCGCGTGTAGCAGCAGCAGGGGGCGCCCAGCCGCCCGCTCTCCTCCCCCATCGTGTCGCACCCCGCCCAACCTCGCCTCCAATCCTCCGCGCTCGCCTCACTCACTTACACCTCTCTCCCGCCTCTCTCTCCATCTCTCTGTCCGCCTCTCTCCACCTCTCTCTCTCCATCTCTCTCGCCTTTCCTCTTCGCCTCTCTCTCTCTCTCCATCTCTCTCTCTCGCCTCTCTCTCCACCTCTCTCTCTCCATCTCTCTCCTCTCCCTCCTTCGTCCTCCCTCCCGCCTGCCCTCTGCGATGTCTCCCGCCAGCCGGCAGGTCCGCGTCTTCCCGGGGCCCGGCGAGTTGGCGGCGTGGGCCGCGCGTCGCATCCTGGAGCTGGCGGTGCGCGCCGGGGCGGAGCGCGGGGAGTTCCGTGCCGCGCTCTCCGGGGGCAGCGTCGTCGCCGCGCTCGGCCGAGAGCTGCCCGGCCTGCCCGGCCTGCCCTGGGCGCGCACGCGGCTGCTGTTCTGCGACGAGAGGCTCGTGCCGCACCACCACCCCGACAGCACGTACGGCCAGTACAAGGTGCCACCGATAGACCGACGAAGATCCACGCACGCACGTGTACGGCCAGTACAAGGTGCCACCGATAGACCGACAAAGATCCACACGCACGTACGGCCAGTACAAGGTGCTACCGATAGACCGACAAAGATCCACGCACGCACGTGTACGGCCAGTACAAGGTGCCACCGATAGACCGACGAAGATCCACGCACGCACGTGTACGGCCAGTACAAGGTGCCACCGATAGACCGACAAAGATCCACACACGCACGCCTTGTATAGGCCAGACTGTTGGAGCAAGTGCTTGCTCGCGAGTAGCGGCACGCGAGAGTGTGGTGGCGGTGGACAAACAGCCACGCCCGACCGCCTTTGTCTCCCGAGTTGGCGATGTTTAACTACACACCGCACCAGGTACTCCTCGTTGGAGGCCGAGTCGACCTAGGGGAGGCCCAGGACCGGTTCAGATAATCGTCACCGGTGTTAGCCGTGGGCGGGGATCGCACCATGCACGCACGCAGGCCACCTGGCTAGCTTGGGATGTGCCGGTCCTCGCCATCGACATGTGGAGTATCCACCGCGGGCACAGAGTTTTGCCGCCGGAGATAAGAGCCGCACCAGTGCTTGTGAAAGGTCAGGCATTTGCTTTGATCAGGCTTTTACTGCCGCTTGTCTGTTCTTGGAGGCGGGGTTGGTGGATCACGCTGAGATGCAGTCATCGTGTGCATGAGACACGGTGGGGGCGGGGAGTAATTTTCCCGAACGCTGGCCGGCCAACCTGCCAGCTGGCTTGTATATATGTACATGTACGTTGAACTTTTTTCGCACCGTGCGTAACCACCCGCGCTAATCGGAGGTGTGGGCTTGAAGTTGGGATTATCGGCGTAAGGCACTCGCACTAGAGTGTAAGGCATTTCCGTGCATGATAATCCTACGGATACATTTATAAAAATGCGATGAATAGTTGTGTGGTGAACACTAATTTCCAGAACGGGGTTAATCCAATGTCTGTTCTCTCTGCCTTTTCTTTCAGGCCAGTTTACTGGGAAAAGTCCCCCTGCCAGAGTCCCACGTAGTAGCAATTAACCCTTCGCTGTCTGTGGAGGAAGCAGCCCAAGATTACGAGCGCAGGATGAGAGAGGTGAGACCGCACCACGTGATGGCTTAACACGGTCAAGCAGCTGTTTGTAACTTTGCAGAGCTTTGCATCTGCTAAACAAAATGTGGTCAGATATGTATGGCTGGTACATGTTGTGCCTGATAGCACTGCAAGTTCACGGCATCCCTTCTTCATGGGACATTGAATGCACTCTTCCATATTTGTCAACAAAAACTCGTCAACAATACTGCCTGAAAAGAACAAAACATCTCGGCGATGTTTAAGGCAATGTTTGACAAGCACAGTGTTAATTGTGCTTAGGCACTAAAGTTAGTGCACCATCAAGTAATTCCCATACTGGTCAAATGTGTTTAGATGGATGTGGGTATTTGTATTTCACCCAAGAATTACAAACCCCCACCCATAAATCTCCCATTAAAAGTTTTTATTGGGTGAGATGTTAGCTACCTCGCCTGGTATGCAGGTTGTGGGTTTGATCCCAACCCTGACGCCTGCTGTATATTTGAGGTTTGCGTGTTCTCCCATTGATCTTTTATCCGGGTCCTCCGTTTTTTCCCCTCCACATTTAGAATCACGCGTTTAGATTATTCGGATGCCACTTTGTTGAGCTATCATTTGTGGCCAGGTCGCTTCTGACAAAAAGCTATATAGCTGAGTGGGCAATTCCTGGTGAAATAAAAGGTTTAGTTCAATTATATTTAACCCACACTTTACACCACTCATCCACCACTTTGCGTACTGTAGTTTAACAAGAAATGTTTTATTGTTCAACGGGGAGGTGACTTGGCCGAGGAGCAGAAGCACATTTGTGGATCATTGCAGAGATTCGTTTTTGAGCTGTGCTGCTGCCCTGCTTAACACTGCGAGTTTAAGGGAGTGCCTGGAGCAATCTTCTTCTTCTTCTTCGTGTGGCTGATGTTGGTGCAGAGCCACAACTACAATCTCACATTCATGTGGTCAAGCCAGACAACGGCATCAGGAGCAGCGGAGTGTATTGCTGTAATGTCTCCTTTGTATTTGTGGTTCGGGCATTGCATCGTTATATGCTGCATGGCCTGTTCTGGATGACCACAGTCACACATTGTATAGTTTATAATTTTCCATTTGTGCAATAACCCAATGCGTCTGTACAATATTTAATAGTATAACCCAATGCATCTCTACAATATAATCTAGATGTCCATACATGCAATCTCACAGTGCTTTACATCAGGGGTAATGGGGGTGGGGTTGGATAAGAAGTGGCTCTGACTTAAAATAGGAAATTATTTTTGAAATAGAAATGTTTTTTAGGTAGAGGGACTTGAAGATCCCAATGGAACCGGATTCCCTGACAGTCTTCGGCAGAGTTCCACAATCCAGATCACACGGAAGCGAAGGCCCAGACATCACCCATGGATTCATCTTCTTTGGTTCTTTCGGTAAAGTCACGTAGAATGAGAATAAAATAATAAAATAAAATAAGACAATAAAATTCTCACGACGTTTCGGCCACAACACAAGTAGCCTTCATCAGGTGAAAGAGCAGAACTGTCGGGACGACAGTGAGAATTTTATTGTCTTATTTTATTCTCATTCTACGTGACTTTACCGAAAGAACCAAAGAAGATGAATCCTTGCAGTCACGAAAGCTTTAAATAGAAATCACCCATGGACTTTGAGCTCCATTCTGGGGATGCAGGGGAGATTTAAGTCCACATGAGATCACAATTGAAATCCTCTATAGTATTGTCTGTTCATGTAACTGTATAATATGCTGTCACTCAATATGCAAAAGAAAAGTGAATCCTCAGATTTCTTAGATCACATTGTCTCCATTGGTTACTTTTAGTGTAAAGTCATATGCTGAAAATGGCATTCTAATCTGTTCAGAACCAGAACAGTTATTTATACTGGAGGTATCCGATGAGCTATAAAGATCGTTTTCACATATGTTCATGTGTTAAAGTTCTTCAGTATCTCATCTTCTCTACTGTGGCCATTTGTTTTACTGTGATGCATGTCTCAACTCAATTGAACAACCAAATCAAAGTGGCTTTATTTTAACAGGAAAATGCATAAAACCAGGAGGTGTGAAACGAGCAACCTTGAATTTGGAGTAACATCCTTCTGTATAATTTGTATATCGAGTACTTGCAAATTTTTTAAAAAATGAGCCGCTTCTTTCTTCGGGTTGTGCCAATCACAATCACAAGTCTGAGCAATAACGCTCTAATAATGGTGCGGTATTTTGTATTGCATATTTTATGGAAGCTTTTGAAGATGTCAATGTCGCATATTGTCGGTACAGTGGACTGTACTCTTGTGTTTTAGGTTTTCCCAGGAGAAGATATTCCAGTTTTTGATTTACTTGTGCTCGGGATGGGACCGGATGGGCACACTTGCTCCCTCTTTCCTTCACACCCTCTTTTGCAGGTAAACGTTTGCACACCTACACATACAGAGAGGTGTAGGCTATGTTTGTAAATCAATTTTATGTTGATTTGTATTTCCATATTCTGTGTTCAACTAGCCTTGTGGTGGAGAAGCAACAAGTTACCTGTAGATAACTTCTTGCTATGAATGTACAAAACGCTGAACTAATTTTTCCCTTAATTCACAAAAACTACAATCCTGCATTTAACCCAATGAAATATTTTGGCATGGGAGTTGATATTTCTTTTGCATAGATCTCTACACACAGCCATTATTTTCTTTGCATTTATGATGTCCTGCCATGATACCAGCATACTCCATGCATGCTGTTTCATGGTATTTTGTTACCCATTCAGAAGGATATATGAAGTAGCACTCTTACCTTTTGTTCGCTTCATGTATTTAGCAATGACGTGATTAAATTCCATAAGGTATTGATGTCTAAACCTGAGAAAATGAAACTTTTTTTTATGTCTTCGTTTTCAAATACTTTAAATGAAGTGGCATTTTAAGCCTTGGCTCTACAACTTTGGAATTTTCACATTGTGTCTTATCTGGAATGGAGTGGTTAGTTTTATTTACATAGAAATATTACACACTGTGAACAATGTATTGCCAATATATTTTATTCGGGTGGCAAAAGTTCAACATATATACATAATGGCAGTGTTGTCCACATTATGCTACAGAAACCATTGCAATATCACCAGCCAGATTAGGCAGGTCATGTACAGTATTTATTTCCCTTACGCGCCTGGGGATTGAAATATATAGCGCGCACCGCAGTATTACAGAGCCACACAATACAATACAAGACTGAACGTTTTATAAAATCGTAACGTAAAAATTCTTAGCTGCATGCCGTGGTGTACGCCTGTAATCCAGCAAACTGGAGGCAGCGCGAGTAGGTCATTCAGAGATTAGAAATGTACCGTGGCTGAGATGCTTACCTGCATGTTAGTAGGGAGCCCAATGAAGCAGTAAAGTATGTTTGAAAAAAATGAGTGTTCAATTGTGAGTTCAACTGATATTTCATTTAAAAAAATCAAGGTTTGTTTTTCATCACCAATATAAAAATCGCATTTTATATAAATTAACAATGGTTTTTCCAGATCAATGTATGTCAGTAGCAGTTATTAACCAAGGCAAACATTGGAATTATTTCAACATCACTGTGTCTCAACGGATGATAATGGGTTACCAGATGTATTCTGGGGAGGATGTGTTATGGGGAGCGTCCCTGTAACAGCCCAGGGACAGAGTGTGATTTTAGACCTCTTTCTGCTGCGCTTGATTGTCTGTTGTGGGTGTTTTCCAGGCACTGTTTGACCACGTGCAAAAATACTTGTGAAAATAAATAAACTCAACCTCCTGCTGGAAAATATTATTTGTGATTCAGGAACTTTGCTAAATACAGATACAGTCTGTTCTCCTGCACCGCGTGTTGTTTTCATAACGCGAATTGGATATAACGCGATGAATGTATTAGGGAACACATTTTTTTTTAAAGCTTTCGTGACTGCAAGGATTCATCTTATTTGGTTCTTTCGGTAAAGTCACGTAGAATGAAAATAAAATAATAAAAAATAATAAAACATTGTAGCTCTGTCACTTGTGTTGTGGCCGAAACGTCGTGAGAATGTTATTGTTTTCTTTTATTATTATTTTTTAATTATTTTATTCTCATTCTATATGACTTTACCGAAAGAACCAAAGAAGAACACATTTTTAATCAAGCGGATGCGAATTGGATATATTACGCGATTGAGTTAACAGAACAATGTCGCGCGAGTAGGAATAAGTGGTTGTACGGCTGCCTCGACGTAGCATCACGCCAAGCGGGATGCTGCTGGATGCTTCTAGATGCTTCAGATGCTGCCCATGTGCCTCATTCTTTGTTCAGCCTGTATTAGCATCTCACGTGTTATCGCGGACTTTATCCTATATTATTTATAGTCACGCGATTTTTACGTAATACAGTGTTCTTCAGGAACACAACTACTGTGTTATAGGAAAACAGACTATTTGATTTATCTTAAAAGTTCGCTTTGATGATTTGATGGTTTGCCATGCATGCTGAATGATAGGAGACGAAACTGCTGGTCGCACCCATCAGTGACTCCCCCAAGCCTCCGCCAGAGAGAATCACGCTCACTCTGCCCGTGATCAACGCAGCCAGATGCGTGATGTTCATCAGTACGGGTGAGAGCAAGGCGGCAATACTCAAGGTAAGCGCGTTCTCAACGGCATGGCTCATCGTTCTTAGTGGATCGGGCAATCTGAGACCTTACATGAACATGGTTAAAGTTGGTCAATACGGTAGTCCCTCGGTTAACGTTTTTAATACGTTCTATGAAAACTGTTCACCGAAACAACTTAATCGAAGAGAGAGCTTTTTCCACTGCCAAAACAGAAAACATAATGTAAACAAACTCAGTCGAGGTCTAAACGCTCATAAATGGGCGTCAGTGATTGGCTGAGGGCATGGCTCAGCCCCACTTAGGAGCACTCAGATTGTCCGAAATTGGCGCCCCGCGTGCCTAAAGTAAACATACAGTTGATCAAAATTGTAACGTTAGTTGAAACCATGAGGTCCTATTGAAGGCAAAACATGATCCCAAAAACCGTTAACCCATGTCACTGTTTGCCGAGGGACCACTGTATGTTTTCATGCATTGAATCTAATACATTTTTCCTGAAAATACACATAAAATATTGAATAAATGATTAATGATAATGTTGGTGTTTGGAGGCAAATGTGAGGCAGCCACCACAGTGTATTAGTGTACCGGACATAATCTAGAATGTATTTGTAGTTTTATTCATTTTATATATATGCAGCTAAATATATGCCTGGCTGGGTGGTGACTTGACTTGCAATGGGAATAATGCGAGTTTCAATCCTGCCCCATTATTCAAACAGGGTAATTTTTATTGCGATAGCCTTTGCAAATACAATTAACTTTTAAATTCAGTGTAGTATAAGAACGCAAAAGAAATCTGTGGATAGAGGTGTGTTAAACGAAATAAAAATCTAAATGCAGTTGCTCTAATAAGTATTTTATAAGGGTAAGTTTCCCATGTAAGTTATTTTTTTCTTAACTGACTAACAATGGTTCATGCTTGTAATCCAGCTCTTTTAATGAATCAATGTTTATTTGTTACACGAAGTCCCATTTAGCCAGTTACCCAGCTAGTTTGCAAGGGTGATCCATAGTGCTATCAGAACAAGAACAACATCAAAGTAATCAGAGGTGCAGGAAAAAATTGTTCTTAAATAACAACATTTGAACAATATTAACAAAATAAACATCAGGCATATTGTACCAAAAACAAGAATGAGGTAATGATTGGTTGGAGAGGAGATGAAGAAGTGAATACGATCAAACAAATAGAATCATAATTTACATTTATTTTTAAGGTGCCTGCCACTAATGTCTCAAGGTGCCTTGTACGATTGAGGTTAAGGAAAGGCCAAGAGAGAAGGAGAGCTACATAAAATAAACGTAATTAAGAAAATGTGTTTTTAGACATGACTTAAAAGTATCCACATTGTCGGTTAAACGAATTCCCAATGGTAGAGAATTTCACAACAAAGGTGCAGACACAGCAAGCCGCCCGCTCACCCCAGGAAGGCAGCCGGGATCGAGGTACGCACAGAAGGGCGCAGTCTGCAGATCTTAAGGACCTTGAAAGGGAGTGTACGGATGACTTAACTCGTGAATAGATGGGATGCAAAACGTAACGGCACTTGAGCCAAGGTTTTGTGGATGCATTTGTGTGACTCAATCCCACAGAACTGTGAGTAGCCCAGGAGGTGACAGTACAGTTCGTGGGTTCTTGGATTTTTGAGTGTCATGTAGAGCATGTGGATTATTGTGCCTCCGAGTGTGATTCCCTTATGTTCGTAAGTTGTCCCCAGATACTCCAGTTCCCTTTCACTTTCAAAACCCTCATTAAAATTTATTTTTTGCCAAACATGCCTGTTCATAACCTCCTAAAAATGTCTTCATGCTTGGTGAAGTTTTCCTGGAGAAAAAAAAAGCATGTTTATATATTGCCTTTAAAATAGCTGCAGTGCTAAATTTAACTGCCTCTTCTGCAGGTGTCTCGCTTGAAAGTGCCTCTCCCTTGGTCTCTTTGCAGCAAGTACTGGAGGGCCATGACGAGCACCCCCTTCCTGCAGCCCTGGTGCAGCCCAGTAACGGGGAGCTGCTGTGGCTTCTGGACAAGGCAGCGGCCAGCCAGCTCAAGTCAGCACTGTGACGTCTGCATCCTGCAGAGACTGACAAAACTTGGGGTGTCTAACGCTGGGCAGCCCACGGAACGCATGCATGTGGTTTCCGTTACGTCAGGGTCTTCAGCCGAGTTGACACAGGTTATATAGAACATTTCCGGGCTGTTCTGGGAGGCTAATAGCAATATCAGAGCGCTAGGACAACACTACTGAGGTCTTTGATTTAAGGTTCTCAACAGATGCATGCGAGTATTTGTGGAGGGCATGTGAATAGTGATATTCTCAGTTCTCGGCATTTTGCGCATGAAACAGCACAAATGTGCAATTTAATTTGTCCTAATTTAGTAACTTCTGTCATCGGCAGTTGCAAATTGCTGTGGCTAGTTGCATTAAACATATGGGCTATGCGCATTCGATGATGCTGCTTTAAATTACAAACCGAGTGTAAATGTAGCTGATGGTGTTTTATGCAAGTAGGCTTTGATAGCAGGCTTTGGGATTACACACTGCATTTGTGTAGCAGTCTGCACGTTTGCAGGTGACCGCATCTCTAAGCTGGTTTTTAGTAAACCAGAAATGCCAAGGTGAACTCTTTAGGGTAATTTTTGTGAAAGTCATAGGAGCTGCATTCATATGTTGACGAAAACACATTGCCGTAGCAATATGCCGCCCATTCTGGGTAAGTGGAGACATTGCGCAACTTAAAACATTGGTTGACGAGGAACATTCTTCAGTGTGTGCGCCGAGGCCCTGTGCGCTCGTACAAAAAACTAACAGCGTAATGCTTTCGTTGTGGATGCTTTCTAACAGTGTTGGAAAGGCCCAATACAAATGTTCATGATTCTATTGACGATTAAATAATGTTTTATATTTCTGTGTCAGCAGACAAATGTGAGAACACCAGTACAGATTCAAAACAACAGAGAAAATTGTTATTTTATTTCGATTTAAAGCTTTCGTGACTGCAATGATTCATCTTCTTTGGTTCTTTCAGGTGAAGGGGGCGAGACTGTCTGGTAGGACAGCGCTGTCCTACCAGACAGTCTCGCCCCCTTCACCTGATGAAGGCCGCTTGTGTTGTGGCCGAAACGTCGTGAGAATATTATTGTGTTATTTTATTTTATCAATTTATTATTTTATTATCATTCTACGTGACTTTACCGAAAGAACCAAAGAAGATGTTATTTTATTGTCAACTAATTATCATAGCAAATTACAGTAAATGTATCATTTACTCCACTATAAAAATGCAGATTATGAAGATATCAGTTTTTAAAATTCTTATTTCATCTATGTTGATATTTTTAAAGATATCTTGCTGAATGACATCTGTCATGGCGCTTTGAATGTTGTCTTACTTTGGACCAGGTATTTGAATGAGATATTCTTCGGTTTTTCAAATAATTTACAAATGCTGTACTTGAATTGCTCTTAAAATCAAACTGGTACAGTACTCTTGCGATTCCTGAGGTTTAAGTTTTGTGCTTCAGTTCTAGTATTGATCGTGTGAAATGGACTATGGATGTTGATTTTTGTTCATTGATAAAGGTGCAGAATTAAACTGTCGGCCTTGAGTTGTGTTTAATAAGAGCCAAATCCATGTAATATTGTGGATGCTTAGACCCTAATGAACTAAACCAGTTAAAATGTAGGATCATATGTTTTATTTGGTGTTTAGAGTAAACCCACTGTACCAGCTGGATATTGATTATTTTACACGAGATTCAAATACATTTCCTAAGCATGCTTCATAATCCTATATTTGTCTGCCTTCTTACCACATAAGTCCATAACTTCCATTCACCAAGCTCTGACATCCTTCATGTATCATCACGACTTTACTCCATCTCCCTGGTTCTCTGATCATCACATTCCTCCCTAATTATACATCTCCAGTGTGTTAAATAGGGCTCTACATTATTAATAATACAAACACTAAATGTATTGTCTCTGGTAAATATCTATATAAAATACCAATATTGGGGTTCTCAAGGAGGGGATGAGGGCAATGGAGACACGTGGAGTGACAGACATGCAGACACTTGAGACAAGCAGAAACGAATACATACGGAGTTTATTGACGGACATGGAGGCACAAACACGAATACACTCGTGCCGTTGGGAAAATTGTTGTCACGGATTTTGGCATCATCAGTCCATTTCCTTGTCCTGGATAAGCACGAGAGCGTGAATTATATCATGACTGGAACACTTTCTCACCCATCCGGGCCCACTGAGTTGTTTGGCTCGGTGTGGCTGCGATGATCGAGGAAACTCGAGAGAACCGTGTGTCGTGGTGAAACATGTTGAAGAGCACTGCACTACGCGATCACCTTCTGCACATTCGATCGTCATACACACGCATCACACGCGCTGGTGTGTGCAGTCGGGTACAAGCCTGGACCATGGACCACTTCAACAGGGAAAACAGGTGTTGTGTTCATATCCGATTGTGACACCACCAACTGCACCACAATCACCCTCCATCACTACAACCGTTATCTGCCACCACCACCATCAAAGACCACCATCACCCACGACCCACCAAAAAGATAAAGTTCCCCTGTATAGCATGAACAGACTTGGGGCAAGTGTAATTAGTAAATACCTGTGATAGCCAGTACAGCACACGAGGGGGTGGGTGCCTTTCTTCAAGCCTGGCCCTCTTGTCTCCCGAGTAGTTTATCACGTGGCTCCATGCACTTCATGTGGGCAGTGAGCTCCACCTTGGCTTTTGCAATAGCAATGCAATTGAACCTAAGTCGGGACCTCGGGGTCCCGAATAAACGGAAGTCAAAATCGTAATTAATGTTTTTTTGGCGACTCCGTCCCACCGCGCACATAAACGCCGTGACCCACCTGGCGCGGATCGTTTTGTTGTCATGTTGCCAAAATTGCCGTAGACATAAACAAAACATTTAAACTTTGATTAGCGCATCGTGTAGAGCTCGTTGAGAAGATTAGATTTCCGTATAGTTCGCCTTCAACAGACAAAAAATGACGTCGCAACGCAGTTTATGCGAGAGCCGGGGGGCTTATGGGGGACCCCGGGGGGCTTATGGGGGACCCCGGGGGGCTTATGGGAGACCCCGGGGGGCTTATGGGGGACCCCGGGGGGCTTATGGGGGACCCCGGGGGGCTTATGGGGGACCCCGGGGGGCTTATGGGGGACCCCGGGGGGCTTATGGGGGACCCCGGGGGGGCTTATGGGGGACCCCGGGGGGCTTATGGGGGACGCCAGTGGGCTTATGGGGGACCCCGGGGGGCTTATGGGGACCCCGGGGGCTTATAAATTTTGAAGATCACATCACATGCAGTGATCACAAAGGGTGCTGTTTATTCATCCATCGGCTGCGGAAGTTCATGCGCAACAGAAAGAACAGCATTACGAGCAGGCCCTGCCTCACGAGTGCTGCGGGTTGAGCAACTTCTCCGTCCTTCCACTTTTGTAAAGCCAATCATTTGCCAAGCCTTCACCCACCGTTTCGTAAAAAAATTGTGCAGAGAGCAAGAACAAGCTGCTGCAACAGTGGGCATTAACTTGTGGTTTAACTCATCACACCATTTGCACAACATTCACCACCTTCTTCTTGTTTTTTTTCGGTAAAGTCACGTCGAAGGGAAATAATAAAATAATAAAAACAAAACAATAAAATAAAATTATCACGACGTTTCGGCCACAACACAAGTAGCCTTCCTCAGGTTGAAGAATCAGAACTGTCGGTTAGACAGCGCTCCAATGAACACTGCTAAGCTTGGCAGCGTCTTTTAAGCGTATCCAGAACGTTAGGATGGACGCAAAACTCCAGCATCGTTGGCACTGCGAGGTGATCCTTCAGATACATTTCTAAACAGGCCTTGATTGTCCTCAACAACCTGCAAAACAAATAACCATTGTTTCCCGTGAACAAAATCGCACTATTTCTCTTGTGAAGCATGCACAGGAATATGGGCCCCAACAATGGCACCACACATTTGTGGAATATGGTGTTTCACAAAATTGTTGTGCTCCAGTTGGTAGGTTGATACGTGATGGTACAGGTTCAGTATGTACAGCCAGCTTCGTGCACTGATGCATGCAATTGTAGGGGCAATTAATTGGCAAATGCTTTCCTTTCCATTCGGATGTTTTCCCAATCAATGGTTTTTCGTGAAATTTTGGAGATGAACCTCCCACCAGCTCTTACTCTGGTAATGTTTCCAAGTTGTAGGTACTTTGAACAGAGGCAAGAGAATATGCAGTGACCAGTTGCAGTTACTGAAGGAGAGTAATTTTCCTTCTCTGGGAAAAGCCTCACTTGGCGCAGCTGTCTGCAGCATGACCTACAGAGTCGTGTATCTGGCATCAGATGTTCATATTTCACAGTTCTCTGCAAATATCAACAACATGCAACTCACGGTGTCTGATCTTCATTTTTCCCAACTCATATCAGAAATTCAATAGCACGCAAAGTAATTGATGACGCATTGGCAGTGGCGCAAGTGAAATAAAATAAACATGTTCGTCAATGAAAGGGAAAATATATTCAGTTATAGGCGATGTTAACTGCCTCGCCACTTCATCGGGGTATCATTTGTGATTGCCAGGTCGCTAACTGAAAAAATAGCTACATAGCTCAGTGGACCTTACCGGGTAAAATATAAAAAAAATGTTGAAGGAGCATTCATTGGGTTTTCGTTCACTGCACACAAACAGTGGCCTCCTTGTGGAGCTGCACCAGGCGGACCTCACAAAACGACGTGCGACATTCGCGCTGCGCAACACGCTCCCAGGGCATCGCCAGCGAAACGAATTTCTCTGCGCGCGTGCACGGCGACGCCCTCGGGGCGAGATGTTAAACAATGTGGCGACCGCCGCTAGCGTCTCGTCACACGCAGGCGGGCATGGCGGAGCGGCCGGGCGTGGAGGAGGAGGAGGAGGCGTGAGATCCTGGGGCTTCAGGTGAGGGTTCGAGAGGGACGTGGCGCGTGACGGCTCCCACTCTTCGTCTCTCTCTCTGTCGCCACGTCTCTCCTCCCTGTGGCGCGGGGGAGAGGAGACGGAGCGGGTCGTGGTGGGACACGGGGGAGAGGAGGAGGCGCCCCAGCGCGGAGCTCCGCCGCTCAACCCAGCATCCACCTCCACGCCAGGCGCCTCCGAACTCACATTTCTCATTCTCTCCTCGCCGCAGCAAATTTCCCGCCCCTGCGCTTTTAAATTGCGAAACGGATTAGCGAGGGCTCGCTCTTCAGTGAATTAAAGTATCTGTAACACGACCCATGGGCTTCAACAGCATTGATTGGGGACACGCAAACTGACCGGTTTTGACATTCGGTGTTGTTGTTGTTGTTTCTCACCGTCCAGAGTGTCTTCGTTATCCAGGTGACAGAGCTCTCGGAGCCTGGTGGGAGAGCCCTCGATTTGTAAGAGCGCAGAACCAGGTACATGCGCGCAAATAACTTTGGCTCGTTCCGTTGAGTTCACTCCAAAGATTCAACTAAAGACTGATTGCATCGGTGAGATTCAATGTGTGTGTGTGTTGAGTTTGTACCGCCGTGGTGCGCATGAGCAGCCACCCGGGGCAGCTATTGCAGACAGCGCTGTAAAGGAATAAAACGATGCACAGCGATGAGTTGGATGAGAACTGGGTTTGTTTTGGTAAACCCAGCTTGACAACAGGAAGTGATAACCCTACATTACGGGGCAAGGCAATGTGGCCGTAGAGAATAAAGTTTGTAATCGATATTGTGTTGTCACTGTCACGTGCCCTGCCTGTTACACGCACGCGGCACGGGAACGCCGCGTTCACTGGACGCTGCGTGCAGAGACGCATCCTCGCGATGTCTGCGAGACTGATGACGGTGGTAACGCTCGGACGAGAGAACAGAGACGCAGGTTTAAAGCGTTTAGATAATTGAGTTGGGGCCCGGGAGGGAGGACACGGCCCGGCCTGGAAGGGGCAGATGATGCGAGAGGGACGCCTGCGGGGGAGATGGAGCGATGGAATCTGCGCGTGTGCC